CCCCCCCCCCCCTGCCCCCTGTTTTTTTTCGCACGCGGCAATTTCTTGTTTCTCGCTCACCTCGTGTACGTGCGTGTTTCGGGCGCGTACCGTACGCCCTCGCTCAGGTCCGCTGTCGTCACGTGAGCCCCACCGGCCGACGGGTTTCGATGTTTAGGGCGGCGTTTCACACGGGGTACGTGCCCTGCGGGGTGCTGAGACTCACCAAGCAGCAGCTCGACGGGGCCTGCGCCGATGACCGATTTCACCAGGTGAAATGCATGGTGGTTTTGTGGTGAAATGCATATGGTTTTGGTTATCTTCATTTTTTATCGAAGTCATGCTCATTTTTTTTCTCTCCGTCGATGGCTGATTTCACCACATGATGGGCATGATTTTGAGCGATTTTTTTCATATCTGAGTCATCCCCGTTCTTAATTTACTCGGTCGATCACCAATTTCACCAGGCAAAATGCGCGTGTTTTGGATGTCCTTTGTATCGAAGTCATGCTCTTTTTTTTTTTTCGTCGCTCGAAGTAAGGGTCGACGTATTCCGCGGCCGTAGCTTTGTCCCCTGAAGTATGAAGGAGGTCCGAGCCGTGTTTGCGGTGGTGCAAGTCTCTTGTGCGGGGCCTTTCCTTCACTTCCAACTCGAGAGGAACAGCACGCGTTCATTTGTTTGTTGCTTTCCAAGAGGAATACGTGTAACCGTTGGCTCTGCATGAAAGACCAAATGTGTTTTCCAGGAACTCATTTGTATTGTAGAGATTTCGTGTTGGTTGGATTCCCGCACATGGAAGACCTCTTTCGACTTATGCCTTCCGATCACCGCTCCATGTTGGCGATATATTTTGTGGGGAAGGAATTGGGCTGGAAATACAGGGGCAGCCTTGAAGTGGTATGGTAGTACCTGCTCCGTGAAGGGGGCTGAAGCTGGGAAGCCTTGGCTTGCCTACGAGCTCGACAACCCGTAAGCAGAGTACAGTATTTGACGCATGGATCGCTTCAACGGTAGCCGTCGCCATGCCATTGGGAAGCTTCCACTTGAGCAACCGTAGTAGCAGCAGTCTGAGACCCATCGATCCCTCCAATGATAGCCGTATGAGCGTGCCTTTGAAAATCCTCCACTTGACATGCCGCAACATCGATCCCCCCAATGATAGCCGCATGGCGATGCCTTGAAAACTTCTCCGCGTGACATGCCGCAACATCGATCCCTTAAATGAAAGCCGTATAACCGCACCTTGAAAATCCTCCACTTGACATGCCGTGGCATCGATCCCTCCAATGATTGCCGTATAACCGTGCCTTGGAAAATCCTCCACTTGACATGCCGCAACGGGTGGTGATTTGGCAGGACTTCTTCCTGGACCTCATTTTCGCCCCTGTAGAGGCCACGCCAAGTTCCTCCGCTTCGAAATCCGAAACGGAACCGAAACCCGAGGGTGACACCGTCGATGCGTTGGAACCAACACCGGAAGGTGAGGCTGCCACGGCGGCGGCTGGGAATGGAGAAGAAAACACCACCACTGGAAAACCGGAGCCGGCGGCGGCGGCGAACGAGACGGAGAACAGCGCTGTTGCGAGAAGTGAGGGGCCGTTTTTCTCGCCGTTGTCGTGGCCGTTGAATGTGTTATTTGTGTGTGCTCGAATGAACTTTATTCGACACACGTGGTTTGGTCTCTACCAGAGTCTTCCGTCTCCGGCGGCATGCGCTTGTCGCACCGAGCCTTGTGTAACAACGACGCGTTCCGAGTTTGCGGACTTGCAGGACTCGGGCTACAGGGCCATCCCTTTTTTTGTGTGTTTGTCATCCGATTTCTTCTGGATGTCGGGCTTGTACACCATTCGGCACCTCTTTGGGGGGGGCGCACCAGCCGGGGTCACACAGGAAGAAAATAAGCCACCCAAGACTTTTTGTTTTTGTCGGTTTGGAACGCAACCCCACAACGCGTGTCGTTGAGATTGCCCAGAGCTGATGGGTCTCGCTGTGGGCGATGTTGGTTGTCGTGCTGGTACTGTGTGTCGATGGCGGAAGTGAGTTATTGACGTGCCGGCTGTAGCCGTGTCAAGTTTTCGTCTTTTATCTCCGATAGGCCCCTTGCTGTGTGTGGCCTTCGATCTTTGAAGCCGTGTCTGCCGTGAGAGCAAAAATCTTGAATGGCCGTCTGGTTCTAATGGTAGGAGGGCCGCTCGGGCTTGTGCCTCTCTTTTTTTTTGCCATACAACAGAGAGGACCTCATTGGAGTTCGCTCGCGTGCTTGAAAGGACATACAAGTGTTTTTCACGCTCGAGCGCTGTTTGGGGCGTAAGCACTGCTCTCGTTGCAGTATTCCACAACACCGTCACACGAACACCAAGCTCTCGGGCCTCGCCCTGTTCGTCTTATCCCACATGCGTGCACTCCTTTTGACGAGTGCGGCGTTCTTTCCCCTTGTATTATTTTCCGCATTTCAAACTTGTTCCTGTTTTCAGGGGAAGGGGGCCTTGTCGTGGATGCCGATGCTGGAGAAGCGTTTGACTCCATGCTGAACAGAGACGCCAGGTTTTGGGGAGAGATCGCCGCAAGAAAGGTATTTGCTGCTGCTGCTGCTGCTGCTGCTGCTGCTGCTGCTGTCATGTTAGTGACCAACAAGAAGGCGATGATAAACCCGATAGGGATCTTGGCGACGCCAGACATGCGACGAATGATCTTTGGCTCCAGCGGTTGATGTACCGCTGTTGTGCGGAATCCCGAGGTGCTGATGGCCCCCCTCTGCCAAGCTTGCTCGAACGAAGAGGAAGATGTTCATTGTTGTTGCGGATGGACACCTCGGCATCATTACGCAGCCACTTTCCACTGCACAGCACATTCTCACAAGGTGGCGATCGTGCTGATGATCGATCTTCACGAGGATACAGCAACAGTCGCGCATCGACTTGAATTTTTTCTTTTCTGCTCGCCGTTTTTTGTTTTTTGGCAGGAACGGAGAGCCGTTCTCCTAAAGGAGCGCGAAGAGGCGCGTGCGCGAGGAGAGGCGCCGGAGAGTGCCATCGACACCGCAAGGGCAAAGGCCATCAAGCAGAAGGAGGCGGCGGCGGCGGCGGCGGCGGCGGGTGCGCCGGGGCTGCGTTTCAGCATCGACGAAGATGAGACTTCGCAGGTACGGCAGCATTTCCCCTCTTCGCTGGGGCCTTTTTCCACAAGCGGGCTTGGCCAATCTACCCTTGACACTGTTTTCGCGGCCCTTCTCCTGCTGTGCCACCCTGCTCTGAGCATAGCGGCTGGCAGCACAGCCCGCCTCGCGCCACGTCCAAAAAGCCGCCGCCTCCGACATTCATTCCCACCACACAACATCCGTTTCGAGTACTGTCAGATTAGTTCGTGTCATACCGTTAACGGCGTCAGTCTGGATGTGATGATGGGGCGCGCGCTCCCGTTGTGTGCGTTGAAGGGCATCCGTAGATGACATGGCGTTCCACACCGTTTAGCGGCCGGTCCCCAAACCCCACACGGCGAAACACGCCAGCCTGACAACAACGTCGCACCCCTTCGCTTTTGCCGCCTCGTCCTCATTTTCATGCGGCATCGGGCAGGCCGGGCGGAACCGCTGGGGCGCGAGTTCCGCCGCATCGACCGGCGGCGGCGGTGGCACCGACACCGCCGCAAACGCCTCCGTCACCTCCTCCTCCTCGAAACCCACGGGCGGCATCACCGATGACGACCTCCTGGCACAATTGGCCGAGGCCGAGATGGAGCAGGACGAGTTTCCGGCGGGCGGCCTTGGGGGCGGGGATGGTGCCGTCGGCATCCCCGGGTCAGTGTCGATCTCCGCTGGTGTGACGCCCCCGGCGCCCCCCGTAGCGGCCTCTGGGGTTTCCAGTTCCGGAGAGAGTGGTCAGGGCGCGAGTAGCGGCAACGAGGGGGCTGGGGCGGCGGAGGCGGTGGGAGCGGAGCGGAACAAAGAGAAGCGCGCATCGCAACAAGACGACCGGGTTTTGGACTTCGATGATCCGGAGTTTGACGCTTTGGATGTGGCAGGGGCGGAAACGCAGGGAGGAACGGGAACGGCTGTGGCAGGGGGGATGGGTGGAGCGACACCGGCCGGTGGTGCTGCCGCTGCCAGTAAAGCAGCCGGAGAGACATTGGGGGACGAGTTAAGCCAGCTGGAGGAGTTAGAGAGGGAGCTCGGGATTATGGGGGTGGTGAGTGATTCTGTGGGGGGCGGTGGCGGCGGCGGCGGTGGCAAGAAGACGGCGCCGGAAGGGGGGGCGGAGGTTGGCAAGAGCGACGACGGCTTTGACATGGACAACTTGGATGAGTTGGAGGGTTATTTGGAGAGCTTGGCGAAGTGAAGGAAACGCTCTCGTGGTGGTGGTTGTGTCGGTGCTGCTAGGCTGACGCATTTTCGTCTGATGTGTTACGTTCCTTCCTTGCATGGTCTTTCGGAGACGTGCGCGCTAGTGCGCGTTTTTTTGTCCTGTGGAGACGGCCTGTGCTTGTGTACAAGAACCCCCCTTGTTGGTGTGTATAGGGCATGATGAAGGTCTTCACCGTCGAATTTGTTGTTTGTGGGTCTAACGTTTCCAGGAGGCGGAGGGCGTATTCAAGGCAATCCTGTTCGTAATTGTCGGGTACAGTAGTACCAGCATACATGATTCCATCTGTCCTCGGACGTCGCCATAAGTTACCACCGTGTTTGAATGAGAAGGTTCGAGGTTTGGCCTAAGGCTGTCCTGAGTTGTCAGAGACGGCGCATGGCGTGTTTATTGATCGCTTTGTTGTACCATGGAGTTGTGTGTGTTATTTTTAAATCTTGCCGTCGCCTTCACGGCAAAATTTGTGTCCACATGTTCGCTTCGTACCTCGCCGGCTATGACAACGTAAACACAAGAGTTTGATCTGTCGTGGTACTAACAATTGCTGTACGTCCAGTATGCACGCAAGCGGGATAAGATCGAGATGATCTGCAGCAATACACAACGGCAGTGAATGGCATCGGCAATATTGACAGGCTTCGTCTGCAATACCATGGTACATATGTGGGATAGAAACGGGGGCATGGCTGAAACACTCCAGTTTTTTTGTGACGGCACGGACTTTGGTGATGGCACAGAATTGCTGGCACAAAAACTGCGACCGATTCTCGTAGCTCACGAATCAATCCCAGAGGGGCCATTCCCTCTTGGCGATGACCTTGCGTGACCGTGACCAGACTGACATAGACATTGCACGAAGTCTTTCGGCTCGCTGTCTCGTCGAATTGACGCAATGGCGGCAGCTCCAGTGCACCGCAACCTTAATGTCAAGTCAAGCACGACGTCCTTACATACATGCGCCGCGCACGTGGCTTTCTCAAATAAATGCACAAACAAATTTAGACCAGGTGGGTTTGTGCTCCGTCTGAAAACTCGATTGATTGACAATCATGTGCCGCTCGCTACCTTGGCCCCCCTGTTTCCGTGACTCGAACGCGACGGCGACAAACTTCCCGAGAAGGAATGAGTGGCTGTCTCCCCGCAGTAACACCCCTTCAGTGTTTGTGCGTTTCTGGGCGTGTCATGGATCCATTCTGGACGCTAGTCTACTCCCACCTTTGGCTACTGTTTGGCGCACGCTTCCCTGTGCCAAGGCTGGGTGCTTGTCTTTAACAGCAAGTGATAAGTTCCGCCACAAACTCGATGTTCCGGTGTCCAATTAGGAAAAGTAATTGTACACACAGAAACACTACTACCCGTTCGAGATATATAATATATGCTACCCACTTCAATAATTATTCGAACGGGATGTGGTGGAGCCTTTTCAGTGAGTGGAGGAAAACCGACTGGGTACTGGAAATATTTCGAGTCTATTATTTAAGTCTACATTGATGTTTTACATCATCAGTGGTACCAGCTGGTGTTATGTACATAACATCTGTAAAGGTAGCCTACATTTCGCAATTCATCCCGTCAAGGTGGTTCTCTACTCTGTGTGTGGGTCAACGACAAAAATATCGGGGAGAATCCCTCCGTCATGACATGTGTTGTAAGATGTAACCTGCAAGGGGAACACGGCGCAGTGTCTTTGTGACAACTTGGTAGTCTGTAAGATACGATTTTAGGAATTATTAGGAAAACTATGTACAGAGAATGTAAAAAGGGTGTTTGCCCGACACGAGATAAGGTGCCCCAACCCTTATACACTGACATGTGGTGCCCACATACCCCCCCGGATACGAGCGAGCGGACACCTCAGCATCGTAGACAAATACGCGGGTACCAACCACGACGCACCGTAGCATGTACGGGAATCGGAAACCGACCGGCTGGCGGCGGACAAAAAGCCATTTATACGTGCCCGGACTCGAACCCGGGCCTATGACATTGAAAGCACGACATCCTGTCGCCGACGCCACTGTAAAAATGGTGTTTGCCCGACACGAGATATGGTGCCCCAAGCCTTATATACTGACATGTGGTGCCCACAAGAACACAAATTTGAAATATACACAAACCGAAAAAGTAACCTGGAAGATACTACTTGTACTCGTTTTTCAAATCTACAATTAATTAGTCTTGAATTCTATGGGCAATTGTTTCCCGCCGCTTTTGAATCTGCGAGATGGCACTACTTGATGTTTTGGGGTTTACGTATCATTGATGCATAAGATAAGGTTGGTACACAGGGTGCACGATAAGTAGGACATACGATGACAGTCCGATTGTATGTTGCTTACAGTCTAGCTTGTTTCATGTTATGGCCGGTGTTGGCAAACAGCAGCAAAGCACGAAAAGTTTTCAAATGATATACTTTCAAGTATAAATGATTGATTGGTTGGTTGGTTGGCCGACTTCCCTGCTGTTCCTCAGAGCGGTTTGCCGAGACATCTTGTTGACACCATGTTGCAATCACGTTGTACAGCATCCGTCATGAAGGTTGTACAGCGGCAGCGAGTATCAGTTGGCATCTCCGTATGGAGAAGTAGTGTGGACATCTTCCGGAGGAGGGCGAAGGATAATTTGTATTACTTCCTCTGTTCGGAAATATAAGCCCATTATTTGGAGAAAAAGAGGCGTAGTCTAAGTCTGGCCCACCAGCGACTTTTTTTGAGCTTTTTGTTTGTTGTTTTCGCGGAGACCTGAAGATCACTCCAAAACCGAGGTCTTTGGTGAGTCCCCAGTACAACACCACCTATACCCTCGGTGACCACAGAGTCTCTGCCAAGAGACAGGGAAAACCGCCGGTTGGAGCCCTTCCCACCAATTTTTGCTGAAAAAAATCGGCGGAATTCCTGCCGATTCGGACACGCCTCTAGAACCATTTTGTTTTTGGTGCGGTGCTGTATTCGATGCACACCCCGTTTCCTCCCCACCCCGGGGACGATATCCATTGATTGATCCCCGGGTGAACATGAACACATTTCATACTCCGAAGTATTTCTGCCGTAAAGGGTGGCAGAGTCCAGTCCAGCTCATCACACACCCCGGTGGTCCAGTGGGAGCCTCGCAACCTGCTGAGGGCCAGGTCATGGGTTCGAGTCCCGGTAGAGAGAGTTTTTTTCTCACTTAATAAATCCTGTGGTCTAGGACGAAAGCGACGCGCTGCAAAGCTCGTTTGTTAGTAAACCATAATCGACTTCGTAAGTCGCGAGGGAAGGGATTGCTGTGTACCCTTCTCGCGATAAAAATACCTCAGGCATGAATGAACCGCAGGAGGGGATCCAACCCCCCCCTCCTATGTAACCCGGGTTGGGTCGTCTAGCCAGCAGAAGTGGAGGATAGGAGCCAGAGGGGCAGACGGCAGAGTCCAATGATGGCAGTAAAACAAACAAATGAACACCGTAATTTTGGCCGCACAACTCCTTGTTTAATCTTCCCTTTTGTTTCCTCTTCCTCTCCCCGAGCGCACACGGGGGGGTGTTATCGTGCGTAGGGGGTGTGTCTTGTTCCGGGGGCAATATCTCGCCATCCCCTCCTCTATTTTTTTTTTTTGGCACATAACAAGGTTGCGAGAAAAATGGGAACTAATTTTGAAATGGGAATGAACACCACCCCCGTCTTGTGTTCACCCTTTGGATTTAGTTATGATCGAAAGCGCTATCGGGGGGTAACCGCGGGCAGAAATAGTTCATACAGGCGTTGGTGAGCATGCCAAATACCTGTTGTTGCCATGGCGAAAAACACGACGAGCAGTAAAATCCTCGGAGACAGGACTGATCAGAGGCTTTCGACGCTGCACAATTATTGCGACATCGCCTTGGGTATGTGTTGAGGGAGGGTACTTCGTGAGAAAAAACTGTTAGCTCCTTCGAAAGTGTACATGAAGATTGAACATGTACAGCTTGTGAACTGGTGCCGTCTTCAAAATAAGGATGATGCCCGTTTTGCACAGCCGGGAAGACGCAAGTTGCTGAATACCTAGAGAGACAGTGACCCAAAGCTTCTGTGAAACCACGCGGGTTCTGTTCATCGCGATGTACTATTTTACTGATAGTTGAACACAGTCGAAGAACACGAACACGGCCGAAAACAGATACCCAACAGAGAGCAATTGCCACCTACCTATATCTTAGGAGCTACGCACGATCCCCCTGGTGTTGATATTGAGCACCGCCGACAAGTGCTAAAAAGCCTGATCACACCTCTTCATCCTCATCCTCCTCCCCGTCCTGAACGCCTGCTACGACAGGGTCGAACATCAACGAGCCAACGATTCGCCGACATTCCGTGCTAACGAACAGAGCCTCTTCCTTGTAGTTACTTGTTGCGGATGGCTTGTTTCGAACATGACGGACCCTCACCGCACCACCACTACTTCCGTCGCCAGAAGAGCTGAAACTCGCTAGAATGTTCGCCCGAAGGCCGCGCTGAGGGATATCACAGCTAATGTCAAGGTCGGCCTTTGTCTTTGATTCCCACCTAACCCAAAAGACGGGGCACGTCGCAGCTACCCTCAAGTACAACGCTGCCTCAGGAGTGCAACGCTCCGTACCCGGTTCCAGCATAAGCTGAAGCTGAGCGTTGGTGGCGATTCGAAGGAGACGAACGTACTCTTCATCCACCTCCTCCTGGGTCAGCGAATCCTTGGCGGCCTGGGGCGAAGGGTAAACGATCAATTCGCCCCACACGGGGATGTCGGACACCTCTTTCGGCGCCTTACTGGCTCTCCTCGGCTTCTTCATCACTAGCTTGGGGCTGTGGTGGTCACCCTGCACGGACGGGTAAAAAAAAAAGAAAAAGAAAGGAACGTGCGGGTGTGAGGGTTGCAGTTAGTCGAGAAAGATTCGAAGACGCAGCGGGGTGTTCTTCCTAGCAGCGATTGCGGGCAAGAACACTTCAGACGCAAGACACGGAAATAAACCGAGAGAAGTCCCGCGTACACTAGACTTTTCCAACGATGGGTGACGCGCATGAAATTGCGCCAAGCACATTCGCTTGTTGTTGATCGTGGTAACCTGAAGGGTGAGGTGGGTTGTCTTGGCGATCGTCTGAGCTACGGTGTAAGATGCCGTAAGAACGTCTGGTTCCTTCTCCAGTGCCGCTTTGAGGGCTTCGGACACACGCTCGGGCACAGTGGACGGCGGCAGGCCAGCAGGTAAGCAGTTTGGACCGACCACAACCTCCTTCCCTCCACGTCGGCTCTGCGGGTACAGTGGAATAAAGCGATGTAGTCGGGAAGGGCTTCAGAGTCATTCCGGGTGGGGCAGAACATCAACAAACTCGCCAATCGAACACGAACGACGCGCCACGTAGCACTGGTGACGTACCTCATCGACGAAGTCTGAATAACCTCGGCTCCATACTTCTTAAACCGTTCATTACCTGGGGTTGAGCACCGGGGGGTGCCATGCGACCAAAAAATTCATTGCACGGAGCGAGGGGTGGTTTTGGCGAGGGCAAGCCCTCAAAAGCACCACCCGACCCGCTGTCACGAAACAGTTCACTACTTAGTGCTGGGTGCTGGGCGTATTGGGACAAAACTTTCCAGTTATCCTGCTCGGGATGTGCTGCTGTGCTGGCAGGACTAGGCGAAAATACTGCTGTGTGCTGCTGTGCTACACAAGAAGGGTATCCGGACCAAACATTGCAGTTTCCACTTTGTGCGGTGCT